GTTGTATCGTTTGATGGCTGATGTGTTTGAACGGAACTGCTTGATTGTAATTCAATCTGGCACCTCTTCATGGAGCACTAAATTTCCTCTCAATGGCCACACGTTAAATGATGGTGAGCCCTGAAGGCTCTTCCACCAATGAGATTTCAGCCTTTATTGCTTTGTGCAGCCCATCCATTCTTGGTTCAAGGGCAGCCTAGATACAGAGATCCCAGTTCAGAGACTCTCCCGTGATGCTCAGAGTACCTGGCAGGATGTGTAAGAGGAGCCTTTCTATTCTCTTCCATACCACCTTGGTGGGTCCTGATACATTTTCCCTTCACTTACCAAGTAGGAGCTCACTCACTGAGGGAAAAGTGTCATCAAAGCTCATGCGTCTAGGTGGCATGGTTCTTTAATGTCTGACTTTCCTTCCTCAAAATCTTTAGACTTAAGATGAACAGAACCATTTGACATACAAAAATCTCATCTGTTTTGAAACCTAAAAGCTCTTGATCATTTTTTGTATGCTATTCGGAAATAGGATACTGCTTAGCAGTGTGTATGTATGTGTATGAGCTCCTTAGCTTTCAAGGCCAAATACCCAATTCCCAAACACAAAGGTCAGAGCTTCTTCATGCCCAGCAGATATCTGACCACATGCTGTAAACACAGCTTATGGGGATGCAGAGCTTAGCACGTTCTACAACTCATTCCTTCTGACTGAGGAGTACCTGCTTTCAAGTAAGTGGTGAGTCGTGGGGATGGGGAGAAGCAGAACTCTTTCTTACACATAATTCTGGTTTGCCTCCAGGACTAGTCAGATTTCTAGAAAAGAAAAGACCTGGGGAAACAGCAAAGCATCCCTTAAGACCCGACTGAAGGAGGCAGGACATGGAGAGATTACAGCGTATGGGCTGGGCCAACCTAACAGCATCAGCGTGCTGGCCTCCTCCTCCCCAAACAGCACTTCCTCTCCACGAAGACACTGGCTGGTGTTCTATTCCCTGCCTGGGAAAGGAATAAAAAGTTATAAATTTTTTTTCTTTTTGCTTCAAAGCAATCTTTAGAGAAAGCAATTGCCCCCCCCCCATCAGTATTTCATCAGAATCAAGACTTAATGGTAAAATAAAAGGAAACGAATCCTGTTCTCTCGATTGCCCAGCATGCACATATATTCCCTGGCTCTTTTCTCCCCATAACGACACTTCACTGGGTCTTACACTGTGGTTTTTCTGAGAAGAAACACTATGTTTTTTGAGTGCTTTTTCAAAAACAGGACTTCTTCTAGTGCCACTGTTCTTACAACATGAAAATTTTTGCTGTCAATTTTTCTTGTATGTACATCATCTTAAGTGTCTTTTTCCTCTTTTCAAAGAGAATTTATACTGACCCAGCTACCCTCACTCCCTCCCCACATGGCATAAACTGTCAAGATGGCAGGCTGGGTGCTACGGCCATAGAATAGATAAAAACTAACAGTCCCACAAATGGACCAAACTCACAACTGTGTAAAGAGATACTAAGATTAGCACTCACAACCAGCTCTGTTAGACTGAAAGGGGCACTTTGTTAATTCATCTGCTCTATGTCTTTAAAACATCGCCTTTGTTTCCAAAGGACAAAAGTAGTTTATCAAAGAACAGGTTAATACAACTTTAAGATTCAAAGTTGTATACAAACAGATTTTTAGACACACTATCATGATACATTATTAAAGTAAATAATAGAAACAATCTCCTTTTAATTTTACTTGAAATTTTAATGTTTCCAATAAAACTGTTTACTTCATTAGAAAAAAAATAGTGACTTAGAATCACTTGTATCATTCCCTCACATTGTACCCAGGTTACTGAAGATGTCATAAACCCTAAAATACCATGTTTTGCATTCTACCCTCCTTCCAAACCAGTGAAAGGATGAGAAAGAGAGTAGTTACAATTAAACATGACTTAGACTTGGGGGGAAACAATTTGTGTTCAGAAATCAACAAGTTCACATAGATACCTGGGGATTTTAAGTCAAATGCAGAGGCAAGCCAGTGCATTCCAACTCTGACATTCAAAGACTCTCCAAAGAATACTAAACAAAACCAAGCATGATCTTTTAGACATACTTCCTAACCACTGCTGTTTATAAATAACAGCTTGAAATTCAGCTCTGGTTTACGTCTCTTTTTAAAAAAATTGCTCTGAATTTATTTGTGCTATGTCAATTATATGAATAAAATAAGAGCCGAGAAACTCTCCCTAAGAAAATGTTTTTGCTAGAAACCCTGTCCTGCTACCTTCTGAGCTCCTTGAAAATGAAAATCTCTGCATCTTCCAGATGACAGCCACCTTTTCGGTGGAACCAAAATAGCTCTCTCAGGTAGAGAGCTGTCTGTCAGTCAGAGCTCTGACAGGTATCAGATTTGGCGTGCAGGAGGAAGGCAAGAATCAGCCCCATGGTAGAAGGCTCAGTGACTGGGGAAGGAGCAAGACGAGGAGGGGCAACCTGGAAAACGGTGCTCTCCTAGACACTAGGAAAGCACGAGTGAAACAATGGGCATTTCTGGAAATGACAGATAACCGAGGGGGACAAGGGAGCCACTAACTCTCAGGATTTTGAAAGGGCTGTGCAGTATACATTGAACTGAAAGGTTTTCAGTTGTGAAAGGAATCAAATACACTCACATGCATAGGATTTTCTCTCCCTCTAGTGGTGGGGTGGGAGCCTTTGAAGCGCTAGACTATTACTGCATTTATACTGTTTCATAAGCAAAGATGAGTTTCCATTAGAGCACCTTTTGCCCATAAAATTAGGATTTTCTTTAGGTGTGCTGCTGTCTCTTATGGGGGTTTTCAGAAACACCCCCAACTCTTCTTGTTAGGGAGTGCATTGCCTCCTAAGTGTGCTTATTACATTGGTAAGGTAGCAAGGCTCTCCCTTTCCTTTTGGCTAAAGGGTATCCATGCTCACTTCCAAGATACGGGAATCCCCCTCTCCTCTGATGTCCTATCAGAGGTAGAACTCTCCTGACCCCAAGTCTGGGCCAGAAAAATCTGGAGCTAAATGAGCAAGCTCACCTACAACAAAGCTGGGAAATATGGAAACTTGGAGGAGAGAAACTATGAAAGGATCTAAAGAGTGAGCCGAACATGATAGAAAGGGCAATAGAGATCAGTTTTGGAACAAATCTCCACCTCTACTTTGCAGTCTCTGTCATTTCTCTCATTTCCAGTTTGGGTTATATGAAAATACTTCTGGTATGGCAATTTGGATCAACAATAGAGGGTGAAAAAATAAAATGGATAGGAAAATTAAATAATAGCAATTTTAAGGACAGTAACTAAAACTGGCTCCATGAAGGAATTAAATTGCATAGAATCATAACTGCATAGGAGTATAAATGGGGATATATTGTACATTGCAGCTGTCTAATTAATAGGTTATTTATTGATCAATAGCTGCACATCAGTGTGAAGTATGCAAGCTATGCAGCTTTTTCCCCTGCTCCATACTTCTAGGCATCACAGATGCCTACTTGACTTCTCCTCTTGTATATCTCCAAGGCAACCAAACTCATATTTTTCTGCAAATGCTTTTCTTTTCTAGTGCCCTTATTTCAGTGAATAACTCCATCACTCATCCAGTGTTACATGCCAGATATCTAGGAGTTCCTTGACCCCACCTAGTCTTCCACCATCATACCCAATCCATCACCAAGTCTTTCAATCTTACTTTCTGAGGCTGTCTCACATAGGTCAATTTCTCTTTGCCTCCGTCACCACACTTTTTCATCATCTTCCTACTACATAAAGGGCATCCACTCTATCCTTTGTCAAATGCATTCTCCGCATTGCACTACTCCATCCAACAAATATTTGTGAGGAACCTACTTTGTACTCTGTTAATACTGTGTTGAACAATACAAATTCCCCACAAAAATCAGATGTTCATAAGCACTATTTGGAGTACGTCACCTAAAATAGGGTGACATACTAGAGAATGGCTGAATGGCTATTCTAAATTGTATGTGCAAATGCAAGAAATAAGTGGTAGTTTCAACAAGGCGTATGAGTTTCCAAGCAGGGAAATAAAGGAAGCTGGCTGGGGTGATGGTATCTCCTATCAATGCTTCCTGGAATATAAGAAGACTGTTTGAAATACTGGTCAAGAACGAAAAAGGAGAATACAGGCATACCTCTGGGACACTGCAGTTTCGGTTCCAGACCACCACAATAAAGCCAGTACAGGAGTACCTTAGAAATATTGTGGGTTTGAGTTCCAGACCACCATCATAAAGTGGGCAGTGGCCCATCATCTTTCTGTTCTTGGAGGGGCTTGACTTTCATTTATAGAAAACGCAGTACTTGTGAAGTGCACTGGAGCAAAGTGCAATAAAATGAGTTATGCTGGTAAGTAAAAATGCACTAGAAGGCTCAAGCTTGGTCTGTTTGTCTCCAAGCATCTTTGCTTAAATGTAGCACTTAACACCTGCATGAAAGTATTTTTAACTTTTCTGTATGTCTCCTCTACCAAGTATATAAGCTCACTGTTGCATCTCCAGTGCATAAGAACTGTTGCCTGGCATACAATAGGCATGCAAATAAGTATTTGATGCATTCATGAAATTAGTGTATGAGGTGGGACAGAGAAAATCACTGAGCGGATCTGAGGGGTTCAGGAAGTCTTCGAGCTATGTCAAGGACACTGACTTCATCTCGAAAGGTTAATTTATGGTCCAAAATCCTAGCCAGGTTCCCCAGCTTTGGATGCCCTCGCTCAAACTCAGACATGGGTTCAGAGCCACACACCTCTCCAACTCCCCACTAGGAGGAGTCACCCCTCCCGACCCGGAAACCCTCCAGCGTTCTCCTCTATTTCTCCTTCCCTCCCCTCTCCGCCAGGGTTCCGGCAGCCTTCGATTCGCAGGGCTCACCGGGAATGGAAGTCTTCCGGTCGGAGCTTCTAGAGATTTTACACTTTTCCAGAACTACGCTTCCCAGAGGCCCTCGCGGCAGAGGGGGGCTGTGTCACCTGACCAGGACTCCGGAGGGGCAATGGCGGCGCCCGTGCTGCGCGGGTGCTGCCCTGGAAGGCGTTGGGTTTTAGCCTGCATTGACCACAGTTCTCGCCACGAAAGAAGGGCCCCGACAGGGTCCAGGTGCAGCGGGAAAAGGGGGCAGAGCTCAGTGGCTCCGCAGCACCTCACCACGGCCGGGAAGCCGAGGAAAGGGTATATTCATCCCATACTGCCCACTTCAGTGCGAGGTGGAACTGCGGGACTGGGGAGATGATGGCCACTCAGTTCTGCGTTCAGTGTAGACGATTTTTGTTTGTTCGTTTGTTTAAGTTTTGAGCAGGAAGGTGTTGCGCTGTAACTTGCAGCCCTGAAAACACAAAACTTGCCCTGTGTTAGCCCTGCCTCCACACACATAAACCGCTCTCCTGAAATAGATTCGCAACTGTAAAATCCCAGGTGGTTTCTTGACTCTAAAGCAACACAGAACACTGGATCCAGTCACCTTACTAATAGCACCAGCAATGGGGTCTGTGACACTAGAAGCGGGATCTTATTTAGCTGACATTTAGCGTTACTCTAGGCCAGCTGTGTTCTAAAGGGAGAAGGGGAGCCTTTACCTACAAGCTGTGGATAGTGGTCGCTTAATGTCATTAGTCAGAAAGCACCACCTATCTGTGGAGGCGTTGCGTGTTGAACATGCATGTCTACACCTAAGAGTAGGCAGCCAATACAAGAACTCTTTCCTCTGGTTGTGTAGAGAGCTTTGTTCATTTTGCTAGCTATCCTCTGAACCGCTGTTTATACTTCACTACGTAAGACAGTTGCCTTTTGAATACATAACTGTAAGGCACATGCCTAATATTCCGTGAATTCTTTGAGATAGTTAGGTTGGTATTACTTTTTGCTTTTCAGTTGGAGGAATAGAGGGAAAGTGTCCAGAGCATTCAGTTTCTATACTTTTCATAAATTAAATCATCTCACTGAATGGGAAGTATTTTTTCTTATGTAATGAAACTGCAAAAATACTTTGAATAATGTTTTAGTGACAGGATTTTTAACATAGTCTTTGTTTAATTTCTCCAATTACATGCTGTAAAAAAGGAATTAATCTCACAATATATGGATGTAGAACTTTATATGTTGAAATGATTGGATCAAAATCCAATACATGTCAACAAAAATCTAGATCATACAGAAAATTGCTTGGGAGAAAAGGATAGGAACAGACAAAATCTGGGGAGAGGATGTGTAAACAGGCTATCTGCAGATTGTCCAGGATACCTGGGTTTCAGAGGGACCTGGGTATGCGATGTTCATAGAGACACCCATGACAGAGGAGTGGCCAGATAAGAGAGATTATAGCATTTAACAGCTTCTTGATAACAATCAAGCATAAACAAACCAGCAAAGGGAACTGGAACCAGACCTTGGGAACAGAAAGTGATTGGGCACCAAAAAATGCCAAATCTGATGGTTTAATAATGTTTCCCTTTGCACAAAATTTCCAGGAGAGTATCATGTAGTAGCGATTGATTACACTCATGTCACTAATCATTTTATTTGCAAACCATTGTTATAAAATGAATTCAAAACATAACTGAGAATTTCTTTTTAAAGTGATGAGATGTGCAACTATTTACCATTATTTCTTTGGTGGTAGAATTCTGATGTTAATTCTAAAAATGTTTGCAAGTTCAGCTTTCTTCATTTGCTGAGTAATTAATTGATAACAGTTAATTTAGAAAAGGCTGCTTTTCACTGAAGTCAGCCAAGCAGTTGACACCACCTGATACCCATTTCTAAGTTGTTTTAAGATGTCAAATTTTTCCTTTTTCTATCACATTATTTGTACAGTGAACTCTATGCCACATTGTAAATGAGTTTTATTTTGTTGGTCTTGTAGGTGTTCATTATGAATTGCTTTTGATTTAATCACTAAGACAAGATGACACGCTTTTTAAGTGAGGAAATAAAATGTTAATAAGTTAGATACAAATAGGAAATTAACATTTGTGGTTTAGGTTCATAGAAACATACATACAGTAACAGATCTAACTATTTCTTAACCATTATGTCTTTCTCTTTAGTGAGCACAAATGGGCAGCTGTGGTAGGCCTGGAAATTCATGCCCAGATCTCCTCCAACTCAAAACTCTTCTCTGGATCTCAAGTCCACTTTGTGGCACCTCCAAATTCCTTGGTATCATTTTTCGATGCATCTCTGCCTGGAACTTTGCCGGTAAGGTTTTTCTTTGATCCTCTCTACATTGCTAAATTTCCTCTATTTGAAAATGCTTATGTTTTATTGAACATAGATAACGATTTCTTCGTTTTAATGTCTTGGTATAGCTCTTAGGAAATACTCGTTTAGGGAATTTTGGATGAAGTAGGATGGACTAAATGTTTTCTAAAGGCCCATCTCTAGTTGTTTTTAAGTCTAAGTACCATGTGTATTCATATATTGATTCACTCATTTCACACACATTTTAGAATGGCTACTAAATACCAGCTATAAACTGGGAAAAAAAATGAGTAATGATCCTTGCCTTTGGGTTGAAACACTATTTGGGAAGGTCTGTCATGAGGTGTGTCGTTCCGTTCACCAAAAGGTTGCTGTCGATTCCCAGTCAGGGCTGTGCTAGGCTGCGCGCTCAGTCCCCAGTTGGGGCGTGTACTAGAGGCAGCTGATCGATGTTTTTCTCTCTCTCCCCCTTCCTCTTTCTCTAAAATCAATGGAAACATGCCCTCTGGTAAGGATTAAAAAGAAGAAATTTGCCTAGGAAGGAAGAGAGAATGCAACAGGCGAAAGGAGACATGGAATCAAGAAAAAAATTTTATTAGTCCTAATTTCTTTCATATTGAAGAGGCTTGAGAATATTTAAATGCTGATGAGTTATAGTCAACAGTAATGTATTGAACACTTAAAAATGTGTTTTAAGAGGGTAGATCTTATGTTGCATATTCTTACTGCAGTAAAATAATTTTCTTAAAATGCAGATGAGTAGGAGCCAAGGACATAAAGGGCAGTTAAAGAGGCATTTGATTAATATGGCCAACCAAACGCATGCATATTCTGTCTCCTTACCCCAAGGAAATCCTACTGAAATAATAGTAAAAGAATTTAAAAGTTATAAATGTCCAAGAGAGTAAGAGACTACACCTGAGTGCATGAGAGCAGGTAGATGAGAGAGGACCTGACTCAGCAGAGTAGGGTTCATTACCACCCAAGGAAAGGGACAGAAGGCCCGCAGAAAGAGATGCTAGTGAGAAATGAGGTGCTGTGTCCTATGCAGCCTCAGAAACGACCAGGATGGGAGTTTCCGGTGTTGTGGAAAGCCAGAGGGACCTGAAGACAAAGGGATAAATTCAGTCTGGACACAGAGCAATTAGGATACAGAGCAGTTAGACCGAAGGTCCTCTCCCTGACCATCTGCAGCTGCACCACCCCCACAGACGCCTGTAGTTTGGGGAGACGTTCAACTGGTGAAACACTCCTCCCGAAGACCACAGGCAGAGCAGAAGGCACTGGTGTCAGACAGTTTCTGCACTCTGAACTCCGGGGCCTCCGCAGACCTTTGCCTTGCCCAGTGTGAGGAGCTCGGGTGACCTGGCATGACCATCTCTCCTTTCCCCCTCCTCCCCTCCACTCCCAAGCAGGAATCTGCAGGAACCTGTTTGAAAATTACATGTCTTTACGGGGAAGAATTAGGGGTTGGGGGTGAGGTCTCTCACTAAAAAAGTTATCTGCTCACCCCACTGTCCTGGAGTGAAGCTCACCGGACAACAAGCCCTGGATATTTACGTAGAACTTTTAATCAACATTTTAGTACCTTACTTTAAAACATAAATTGACAGTCAGAAATCACCAGGTATTTAAAGAGATTGTCCAACATAATAGACAAGGCCAAAAATAAAAGGAAAACTAAAATAAGAGGCAGCAAAGTAAAAAGAATACTTTAAAAAGTAAAAGCTTTTATAAATATCCTCAAGAGATAAGAGAAGCTTACTGTATCCTTGAAATAAGAGCATGGTGCTACTTTTTAAAAATGAACAGTCAATCAAAATGATCTCTTAGAAGTTGAATTATGATAACCCACCCCCCCCCCCACGCCAAACCCAAAGTTAGAAGATGAATCAAGAAAGTCTTCCAGAAAGTACACGCATACAAAGAATTGAATAATAGGGGAAAAAGAAAATGAGATCAATCTAGGATGTCCCACATTTAACTAATAGGAGTTCCAGGAGAGAGGAAATAGACAAGAGGAAACCATCAAACAGCAACACTGATTAGTTTCCCAGAACTGAAGGACACACATCTCCAAAGGGAAAGGGCTGCCAACAACCCTGAGCAATGAGGGAAAATAGTTTCCTGGGCACGGGCACCTACATGACATGTAGGAATTGCAGGGATGAAGGTGAGATACCAGAACTTACAGAGGAGATAGGAAAGGTCACATGCAAAGGACGAGGAGTCAGGCATTGGGTTGATGCAGCACTTAATGCTAGAAGAAAATGGAAGAGTGCCTTAAAAAAAATCCCAGGAAAAAAATTATCCAAATCTAGAATTCTGTACCCAGTACTAGGAATCAAGTGTGACAGTAAAATAATGATATTTTCAGACAGGCAGGATCCAAAAAAAATTCCCATTTTCACGGGAACCTACTGGAGGAATGGAGAGGTTCCAGATCGTTAGCGCTGCAGCAGGCCCAGAGGGCCTGATGGGGGAGGAGGATGGAAGACTCCAGAACAGGGAGGTTTCACAAAAAGAGGGAGGTGGAGTGGGAACAGCAGCTGTCTAATGTTTGTGTATAAAAGAGATCTCACATGTAAACTGGAGTCTCTGAGAATAATAAGCAATAGGTAATAAAAAATGAAGCAAATGAAAGCACGGGCTGCGAACCAAAGCATTACAGGTTCGATTCCCAGTCGGGCACATGTCTGGGTTGCAGGCCACGGCCCCCAGCAACTGCACGTTGATGTTCCTCTCTCTCTTTCTCTCTCCCTTCCCTCTCTAAAAAATAAATAAAATCTTTTTTAAAAATAAAAATAAATAAATAAATAAATAAAATCAACTTCTAAAAAAAAAAAAATGAAGCAAGTGTAAAAGACCCACTAACTCCAGGCAAAACTAAACATTCCGGAAAGGAAATGTAGGCAGAGTACACCTAACAGCTCAGCAGAGAGACATTTACGTAATAATAATAGAAGAAGCACCAACTACTGATCTAACAAAAACTGATATAACTGGGATATTGGGAAATAAAAGAACTAAATTCTTTATCTACCATAACTAGAAGTCATGTTCTAAATTGATAAACCAAGAAAAAAGTAGTATTTTTGGCCACAGATGAGGAGAGGCCTCTTCTTCCTTTTTAGGTCCTTACTTGGTCAGCTGTTTTTTGTTTTTGTTTCTTGGCTAGTAAATATTTCCTTTCACTTAAAAAAAAATAAGACAATGAGTGAAGGATTTAGAACTCTCAAGAGTCAAAAGTGTTTTCAACAAAAATTTTAAACATTTTATATAAAGATAATATTGATAATCACATATTACCTCTACTGGTTCCTCAGCCTTCTGCTGGTGAAATTTTTCTTTTTTCTTCCAAACAGTGACAGACTCACCTATCCGATCCCTGTAACACCACCCTACACTGCTGTTAGGAGGAGTAAGCCCATCCACATTCTGGATCATTCACACCCAAGCTCATGCATGTGGTGGGTTTCCCTGTTTCCTCTGGGGGCGGAGTGACTGGCCTGCCTACCACCCCGGCTGTTCGGACTTCAGTGCAACTCAGCCTGCCACAGAGCTGCACTCAGGGCCAGTGTGTTTCGTTCTTAATGGAAATATAGTAAAGTGGCAAGCATGGGTTATTATTACGGGCAGAATAAAATATAAAAGTATTGCAAAATATCCTACCTTGTAATTTACATACATGGGACTGCAAATGGAATGGGCCAAGTTTTGTGGCTCCATGACCTAAAAACGAGAACATTGTGTCATTGGGACAGTTTATCAGGTCGGTGTTTTTCCCAGAGTAAGGAAGGATTGTCACCGTGAAAATGGCCACGGGCCTTGGCAGGAAGGTGATGGATTTTCCAAGGTCCCAGGCACAGCATGTTATTTAAAAATAGGAAGATAGATGCCAGACAAGATAGCTCAAAGGTCTGGAGGTGGTTCTGCCAGGAAACAGGACTGGCAAGCGAGGGTGGTGGCAACAGCTGCTTTTCACTATAAATTACTTCAGGATACTTGTCTGTAATACTTTGTCCACCAACTAAATGTTGGCATTAAAGGAGTAACATATAGGGAAGAGGAACTTACTAAGAGAATCAGTTCCTGAGAAATCGGGTGTCCTCAGAGAACAAGGAGGCAGACAGCTCTCCCACTGTAGCCTCAGGGAAGATGTGCCCCTTTGCCCTCTGGTGAAGGCAGCTTTTTAGGCTGGGTTGTGAAGTCTGAGGAAATGCCCGTCTGATTGCTTCCCTTTCTAGCAAACACCGTTTCTTACCTCCCACTCCGCTTTTGGCGCTCCTTCCTGCCTGCACTAGTATTTCCCGCTTCCAGGTCTGTGGGTGATGCCCTCGCTGCGTTTGTCTGTGCCTCCAGTCGTTTCCGTTTCTTTCCAGCTCTTGAATGATAGTATAGAATTCTAAGTTGACAGTTATTTCCCCTCAGCACTTTGAAGACATGATTCCACTGTCCTCAGGCATCTATTACCCCTGATGAGAAGTCTGCACGCTTTGTACGTAATCTGCTCATTCTCCCTGATTGTCTTACTCAGGACGTGTCCAGGTGTGGGTTTGCTTTTATTTCCTCTGCTCGGTGTGATTTTTCCACTTGACAACTCTGCCCTGGACTGTGGAGGTGACTCCGTGGGATGAATTGGTGGTGGCTTCTGCCAGGGCCCGCTGGGCTTTATTGAACCAACAGGTTCTATGGTAATTTCCTCATTCCCAGCTGCCACACAGCTTGGAGAGCGCCAGTATTCAAACCCCACACCCGGGCCAGGGCCAGGGCCGGGGCTGGGGCTGGGGCTGGGGCTCTGATTTCTCAAGACTCTCTTTGCATTCATGTCTTGAGGTGGGTGGAGTTTTCCGTATTAGGTCATCCAGTTGGTGGCAGGTTTTGTGATTGTGCCAGGAGTTTGTGGCCTCCACAAGCCTCAGTGGGCTCATGCCTTAACCTCTTTTCCCAAGGTGCTTTAGGTTGCCAGCATCTGGTGTCTCTTCAGCCTGGTTAAC